AAGCGTAACATCTGCTGAAGGAGCAGATTCTGGATCACTTCCATCACACACTTCAGGTACTCATAAAATACAGGCTCACTCCCTTACATGCACACACACAAAACACACTCAAACACAATCTTATGCCAAGTGCACCTAATCTGATGAAGATAACAGTGATCCCCTCAAGACCATAATTCAAGCTCTTCTATGTGACTTCACCATCTCTGTATAAGAGTCGAATGGACAGCATGCAGACACTGGAATCGTATTAGCTCAGGTTTTGAGATGCCAACCCAACACATTAGATAAAAGTCTCGTTTTGGCTTAAAATTGATTGAAAACTTAAGATTAGTACTTATTTCCATAAACACCCTTTTAAATAAGTTAATCTGCACAGTGGTTTTCACTCGGACTATTTATTTGCCAGAAAATACTTCCAAATGTTCATAGTGAGGTCTGTGAGAGGAGCAGGAACGTTTTGTATGGAAAAACACTGTTATTGCACAACGTTTTGTGCAGCTCAAACCCAAATCCCAATCACTTCCAATATACTGAGGTGCAGACAGAAGTGCTCCAAATATTATAAAAACATAAACAGATCCTACTATAAGTCTAACTACTATAAGGCTAGATGTAGAATTACTGTATGCATAATGGTCTAAATTTATTTCAAAGGTTTTTATAGCACAGAAAATGGTGCTGTAGCTCTTTGATTGCAGGTTAAATTAAATTCTAATGAAGAACTTAACATTTGAAAAACACTGAAAAGAAATGACCACTATTAATTTAAAAAGCCAACTTCTTTAACTCAAGTGATAACCTTTTATGCATCTAGTTTATTAATCTTATGTAGGCTCACGTATTTAAATGCAAGCAGCTTAGCAAACCAAAACCACTCCAGTGCCTCCTTTTCATGCTGTGTCTGAATGAATCAGCGTCATATGCGGTGTCACCGGCGCCTGTTCAGTGCAGGATTCTTATTCTGCCTGCCACAGGCTTTGCAAATGCGCATGGAAAAGCGGGGAGAGCCCAGAACAGAGTCATACCTTCAAAGATAAATCAGTGCAGACAGAAGAAATCTTTTTTTAATAGTTTCATCCTGACTGCAATGTTTTTTTGCATTCTTGGGAGGTACTGATAGAAAGCATTAAAAACACCAAGCAAACACAAAACAAACTAAAATGAGAACTACTTAAAGTCCTGCAAAGAATGTTATTGGAGTTAAAGACCATTTGGCTGTCAGTCACCATATGGGGCTGGAGGGTTCACCAAGGCAGAAACAACATAATTACAGCTCTGCGTTACAGCCACTGCACTCCTGTCTCTGCTACCACCTACATACTCTCCATACTAATTGCCTGCTCCTCCTCACATAGGGAATGATTATTGATTTAAACAATATAATTGGTTGGCACTCACAGCAGATAATGCACTTATCCATAGAAACTATGGCCTGAATACAAATGTACAGTTTGAATTAATGGTGATGGGGAACCATGTGTTTAACAGCTAATTTTCATCACTGGTCATTACTTTGATCAATTAAACTTAAAGTCCATGATGCCCGAGAAGCAGTAATCACAAGGCTATATTTCTTTCCCTCACTTTCTCATCCTGCAGTTTCTGTATGTTTTTGTTGTCGTTGTTGTTTTTGTTTGTCTGTTGTGCGTTTTACACATTGTGCAGTTAAATAGAGATGTGTGGGAGGAAGAGAGTGACAGGCACGGCCTTAGCCTGTATCTAGTACACTGATACTGACAGAAGAGGAAAATGAAAGATGAAATTTTTTAATGGAAGAATCAGATTGACCATTTGACTTTCTTCATTCATTTTATAGTTAACAGATTAAACAAAATTATAAAGAATTGCTGCAAGGCATAAGTCCATACGAAGTACATGGGAGGTTCCTGTAGTCAACTGTCAATAATTTCTGTTATGAGCTAACAACACAGTCATGAGAGAGATGTTACACTTACACCTCTTTCTTCCCTAGAAAGCAGAGGCAGAGAGTGTGTAAGAGCGATAAAGACAAATGCATAATGCAGGTGAAGGCTGACACTCAGTTTCTTCAAGTATATAACCCTAGGGAGTAACAGTAGTACTCACCATACACATGCACATTCACATTGTTTGTGGTCTGTCATTTGTTTTGATTTACATGCGCATTCATATGAAAAGGATATTTTTCAGGAATAATTTAATGGGAAATGTTGGGTCATACAGGCTTTTGTAATACAGATTAGAAGCTGGGCAAATATCTTTTTCACTTTCCATCTCTGGCTTTTTCTCTCTGCTTAATAACACACACAGACTCCTGTATTCATCATATCATCATTGGACAAGAGCGCTGAGCCCTTTCCATTTAACTACCGTGTAAAATGGGCCCAAGCTGGATACTTAAAAGAATGCAAGCATTGGTTCACATACAATAGAAGTACATAGAAAGTTTTTTGTTTTGTTTTTTCGAGTAAATGTATCATATAAATAAAAGGAAATCAAGTAAAAGCAGCATTAGACAGCATTACACAGTGTCGTGCTCACTGCTTTAAATACATCCTGTAGCCTGTGGATACCAACATTAAATTTAACTGCCACTAAATATTCTATCTACACCCAGTGAAAGGCAGGTAAAGTGTTTGCAGGGTTGGAAATTAGGGTATACCTACAGTGCTGCCGGAAACTATGTTTTATAAATGCTGAAATACATTCAAATATCAGCAGTCCACAGCATGTTAATGTGTTTGTGTAGGCGTATGCATGTGCAAGTGTTTTATGCACATGTGTTTTATGTATGTGTAATGTAAAATCTCCCTGTGTGGTCGACAAGGCTATCAGTTTGAAGCAGTCTTGTAATTTGCATTGTCCTCGCCTCACTGCTAATATCTAAAAAGAGATACACAGATGCAAGTAGCCCAGTGGGGTTTGCATGCACAGACATACGCTTATATGCACACTTGACACACACCAACTTAAGCAGGGAAAACAGAATAGAGCGATTGCCAGCAAATACTGGGCACAATATCCTCCATTCAGCCAAGAATCTGAAAATAAGCTTCTCCTACAATTAAGAGTGATCCAAACAGACCACTCGTTGTGGCTCTCAGAGGTCTGTAGAGCATAAACATTCTGTGTGAGCAAGAAAAGTCTAAAAAAATCATTTGCTGTAAAGGTAAAACAATGTTTGCAATTTGTGCTGAGTACTTTAAAAATTGAATCTAACTGTGCATATGAACGACTCATTGTGCATTTGCAACAGAAGGTTTAGTTACTGCTTTGTGCCCAAGGTTCCCAAAAGTGTCATAAAACTGCATTTCAGATTTAATACTATGTGATTAGAGAACTGGAAACATTAACAAAATTTTCTAGTTTCACTCAGTAGTGGAAAACAAGTGAACATTAAATCGATAAATCCAGTAATGTTGTAGCTTGTGTCAATATTTTCTTATTTTGAAACCCATCTTTAGTAATAATCCCACCAAACTTTAAAAAATAAAACAAGAACTTAAAAACACTGTTATTGATATTAGATCTCTATGGAGTATTTAAGGAACATGTTTAAATTAGGTGAATTCAAATGAGTCGCATGATAATTCCAAGTGAAATGCAAACTTATGCAATTGTGTCGTTCAAGGTAATGTACACTTTTTGGACAACAGCTGTGTTGTGAAGCACATGGAAGGAAGATATATCAGGCTTTGAACACAGGATCCAATTATTGCTGGTTCTTAACACTTTGTTTCACTTGTTTTATATACTCTTGGCTCTTTACCGAGTTTGTTAGAGTAAATATCCACAGTATGGTCATCTCAGGCACTTGGCTGCTGTTCCATTTTTTTTCTTTCAACCCAGAGAGGCCTCCTCTAACAAGGAAGTTAAAACCCTGATCCTTCATGTTGTGAGGTGACAGTGCAAATCAGTGGCTCACTCATATTTTTAATATTCATAGATTCATTCCGATATTTCACCGTAAGCAGTAGTATAGTCTAATCTCTCAGATTGTGTCCTGTATAAGAGCTTATGAACTGTCTGCCCTTCTTCTGTCTGTCTGCTTGACTTTGTTGCTCAGTCAATAAAAACTGCATGTGGTTCTAAGGAAAAATATTGTTCCAGCGCCAGAAGATAAAAGATCTGTTGCAGCAACAAAGCACAGCAGTATTTTGCTGTATTGTTGTTTTTTCCTCAGCTCTTAGCTCTTAAAATGAAGGTGATAATCTTTGTGCGCTGATAATGAAAGGCTATTTATGCCGAGTTTAGTTCACTTTAGATCACTGTCACAGCATTTTAGCGCCATGGGGTAACCACACACAGAAACACACACCCACAGCCCGACGAAGCACTTCAGCAGAAGCAAAGAGACTGGAATAGAATGGAATTTGAAACGTTTTAGCTAAAAATGTTTCCATGCTCAAGGTGTTTTTTGCAGAAACGTTTCAGATTTCGTTTTGTTCTCCAACTGCGTTGGTGAAGCTCGTCAACTGATGCCACAGGAAAGCCACTGCTCGTCAAATTTAAGACATAGACAAAGGATGGGTTTCATTCAGAAGTATATATAGTTGTAGTGTGGAATTCTAGATGTGAGGGTTGGCATGAACAAATACACAAACGTACCAGGAGTGTGAATCAGAATCAGATTCAGAAAACTGCTTTATTAATAACAAATCTTCTTCTTCTTCCTCTTATTATTAATATTATTATTGTGGTAACAAAGTGATAGTCAGCAACTCATTAGCCCATCTTACTGATTGTGTTACAGATTTTATATCCTAATATTGAGGTCAATAAAGCACATTAATGGCAAAGGATGTGTAAAAAATAAAATAAAACAAAGACTTTTAGGTGTTTGTTTTTAACCAGGTATCTCGCAGGTGCATATAAATTATTTATGTTGTGATTGTGACGGAGAAGCGCGTCACTGATTATTGCCTGTTTTTTCTGTTACCTGTTTCACAGTCCCTTCGTTATTTCAAGTTATCTACACAAACACACGCCTATAACAAGCTTCTCCGTGTTGTTTGCAGGCCAAGTGGTGAAACAGGGCTGAGACTGCCTCATGAGTTGGGCCTCTTCTGTGTTTTGGTCCCCACCCCCATCCTCCCAGCATCAGTGGGATGTCCCAGGTGTGTCTCCTCTTGGCCTTGCTCATGCTCTGCAGCTGCAAAAAGGTATGACTCCCAGCATTATTCACTTTCACATGCCAATTTTCAAATATGTTTCCTTTTTCTTGATTCACACCGTCTACTTCTGAGAGTCATCAAAAGAAATTTCCTCTCTCCCTTCAGGTCTCCTCTGCTAACTCTCTTGAGCTTGTGAAGGAGCAGTGGAGCAGCTACAAGAACCAGTGCCTTGACCACCTCGGTGCCACGCCCCCTTCAACAGGTGATTTGTTTTCCTCCCAGCACGCAAGTCCATAAAATGCATCTGCACCAGCACAGACTAAAGATTTGCTTTCCCTTGTAGGGCTGGTGTGTAACAGAACCTTTGATTTGTATGCGTGCTGGCCCGATGGACTTCCAGGAACCACTGTAAATGTCTCCTGCCCATGGTTCCTGCCATGGTACCATAAAGGTCAGTGTGAATATATGTGTGAGGTAGACAAAAAATAACAAAAGAGCAACTGCTGCGTCACAATGTACTGTTGCTACAGTTTGCAAATGTACGATTTAAATCTAGTCTTATCACTCTTATCTGTAGCATTTCATTATATGCCATAATTTTAACCTGTTTTTTTTTCTCATTTACATGGATAAAATGCTTATACCTAACTCACTGCACAGTTTGACTGCTAATTGAAAGGTTTACTTAACAAGGATATAAGGTGATAATATGTAATTATTGTGTTTGATAGCTTGCTCACCAAAACAAAGACATCCATGTGCTCACTGTGTTGCTTTTTTTAACTATTAATGTGAATAAGTACAAACAGTGAAACAGTGGGAAAAAAAAGGGAGTTAATAAAAGCTTATGACCACAGCAGCCTGACGCTGCATCTGTGTGTCAGGGTTTAGTGCTGCATTTTCTATTATATTTCTAGGTTTTCAAGGTTTTTAATAATTAAGCGGTCAATCTGCGTTACATGTGTGAATGACCCACTGTAAGAAAACATGTTTCAAAAATTACTCATGCATTTCAGGGTGACACGACCAGTTTTCTAACAAAACATATAATGTATACAAACACTTGACAGATTGGTTTCTGGTCTTCATGTACAGCAGGTAATCGGTTGGCAGAATGATGTACTGAATACAATGTACTGAGGTGCACTGAGGTTTCAGGGAGTGCTTAAATGAGTGTGAAGGCCAAATATTACTCAGCCCTGACTTTACTCTCAACCTATGAGTGGTGTAAAGACTTCACACTGTGTCACCGGTGGCAGCACACCTGTCCTGTGGAGCTTTCTCAGTCATTTACCTGTGGTGTGCGGGCTTTTGCTTCAAACACTTAACAGTTTTGGTTCATAGCATGAAAAGCCTGGATTTTGACTGCAGCTGTCTGTCTACTATCTTTGTTTCCATGCACAGGCTTCCTCCAGGTTGTTTTGGGCCTCTGAATAGGTGTGAAGGGGGGTTTATCTTTGCTATCTCCGGAGGCCTCGTAGCCTTGCAGGGGTGTGTGTAAACATCTGATGTGCAGCACTACTTTAGACCCAACCTGTGTTTCACTAACTTTTGTTTGAAAATATATTATTCTGCTGCAAGAAAGCTACAAAGTGAGAGTATGTTAAAAATGTGAAAATTCATCTTTTCGACTTGTTGAAAAGACTCATAGAAAATGATGTCTGTTTATGTTTAGATTTGGTTAAAAACTGCACATTTTCCTTCTTTGCCAAGTCCTAAAATAAGCAGTGGATTCAAACCTGGAAGCTTCATGCTATGACGAAGCAATGCAAACCACTACACCACTATCCCACCACAATGCTTAATGAATTCCTTCTAATTTTTAAGAGGGCCGTACATATATGTTCAGGGAATACTCTGAGATAAAACCCCATGGAAAACATAATTTGCATATCTGAAAGGTAATAACATGCTTTTCAATACATTTTTTAAATACTAGTCAGTGTATCTGAAGTGGAGGTTGTGTGGCTGTGTGAGCACAGTCCCCCCCAAAAAATGACCTCTGCCCTATACCTTGAGGTCAAGGTTACTGAGCTTTGAACACAGCCGAGATTGTTAGTAGCTGCACCTATGTAATGAATTGGTCCTTCTTGATTTATCACATTCACAAACTCCCCATCCGCTTGCCCAGCAGGGTGATGACAATACCCCATCAGCTTTTTACAGCTGAGTGGTAAAAAGTGTCAATCAAATATCATAATAAATAAAAAAGAAAGACACAGTCATCTGCATTTCTGAAATAATGGCTATGTTTATCGTAGCTATCAGTTAAACCTTGGGATGAAATTGATCTTTTTACCCTCAGCTGGAAAAGCTTCATGGGGTAACGTAGGATTTTGAAATTGATACCATAAGCGAATCTGCTAAGAGTTGCCTCACAATATAAAATAGTCAGTGTTGTGAATTGGTAAAACTCTAAAATTGAAGTAAAACTGAAATAAAGCTTTAATTTAATTTAATGGGGCGAACGTGGCTCAAGATTTGGGAGTTCGCCTTGTAATCGGAAGGTTGCTGGTTCGAGCCCCGGCTTGGACAGTCTCGGTCATTGTGTCCTTGGGCAAGACACTTCACCTGTTGCCTACTGGTGGTGGTCAGAGGGCCCGGTGGCGCCAGTGTCCGGCAGCCTCGCCTCTGTCAGTGCGCCCCAGGGTGGCTGTGGCTACAATGTAGCTTGCCATCACCTGTGTGTGGATGACTGAATGTGTAAAGTGCTTTGGGGTCCTTAGGAACTAGTAAAGCGCTATACAAATGCAGGCCATTTACCATTTAAATCCAAAAGTGTCACTGTGTTTAGGCGACAGCACTATTTGCATAGTTTACATATGCCACTCTAAAATAAAATCTTACAATCGTTGTTTCTTTGTGTGTATAGTTCAGGATGGTCTGGTTTACAGATTCTGCAGTGAAGATGGCAAATGGGCACAGAAGAATACCAGTGAATGTGAGGACGACCCTGGTGAGGTGTGTGTACACAGTGCAGTACTTTGTTTTTGTGTGTGGCTTTCTTGTTAATTAGTGGCCATTTTTGAAGCTGCCTGCAGTGGCAGATTGTTACACGGTACTGGTACTTAAAACATTAACTCATTATGATCTGAACTTACTGCCGCATGTGAAAATCCTCCATCTGTTCAGTAAATTATTAGGATCTTTTTGTATTGTTTAAATAAAGCTGAATATAAATTGTGTGTTTGTATCTATGTTTGAATGTAGTCCATGTCTGTAAATGGCTTTATCTCTTTCAGCAGCAGTATGGCCGCATCCTCACTCAGTTGCGGATCATGTACACAGTGGGTTACTCTCTCTCACTGGGGGCTTTGCTGCTGGCACTGGGAATTCTCATCTTCTTCAGGTGCATCATGTAAAGAGGACGTGTTAAGGGGGTTAAGGAGCAGACCTGGTTTGAATTACGGGATCTTGTTTACATCTTCTACCTTCTTACTCTCACTTCTTACCTCTTAGGAAGCTCCACTGTATGAGAAACAACATCCACATGAACCTGTTTGCCTCATTCATCCTGAGAGCTGTGTCCATTCTGGTTAAAGATGCTTTACTGACCCTCACACTGGATCCCAGAAGCAACAGTGACTCACAGGCACGAAGCTGGGTCAACATACCGGTCAGCGAACAAACACACATCCAGTTCACCTGCAGTTGTAAAACCTTAGCCATAGCCACCATATTACAGTAGATATAGAGTGTAGAGGCTGTTAAATAATAATATTAAGGTGATTAGTGATTGGAGGAGACAAACATATAGATAACTTACTTTTAATCCCTCACTTTAAACATCAGTGTTCGTCGATCGCAAATGTAATGTAGTGCAGTATGTGCCACAAACACATACAGAGAATATTCTACCACGATATAATTTTTATATTCAACAGTGTGACTTGCACAGCTCGTCCTGAACATAAATTCCATGTAGGTTTTAACAACCACCACACATATATTTCAATAAACTGCTGACTAGATATTGATTGGGTATGTCTAGACCAACAAATCTGTGATAAGAAAGACATATTCTACAAAACATTATTGATGTTGTTGGTGTTGTTTTTCATGTCATTTCCTGTAAATAAAGCTTCAGTAAACGAATATACCCCATGTTGACAAAAGTAATGGGTCACACCTCTTAATATTCAAAATGAGGTGTTTTCAGTCGCATTGCAAAAGGTGCATAAAATCAAACACCTGACCATGCGACCTGTTCTTCTAAAGAGCACACCAGCCCTAACATGGCACTTTATAGGATGTATAGATTATAGACTTTCTTCCAACAACCTTTATAAGTAGTGTTACTGCAAAAGAAGGGAAAAGAAACTACAGCATGTCAGCCACAAAGTGACACACCACGTAAAGTTGAACAGCGGGGTCGCCAAGTGCTGAGGCGTATAGTGCGTAAAAGTCGCCAACGCAGTGCTGACTCAGTAACTGCAGAGTTCCAAACATCCTCTGGCATTAACATCATGTGTTTCCATAGCCGAGCAGTTCCAGTAGGTGTAATGTGTGGGTGGCCCAGTACTTTTGTCCATATAGTATATAGTTTATATATGTTTGAAATTCACATGCTATTCTAACCTGTCATGAGTTCATAAAGGTCCATAAGAATTTAATTTAAAGTTCTGAAATGCGGTTGCAAGAGAATATCAAGAAACATAAAGGACTGATCACTATCTAGGATTTATTACACAGAAGATGAGCGAGGGCAGACACCTGTTGATATCTGATACCACTCAAATGTATACTGCTATTGCCCATCTAATTATCTCTGTTGCTAAAACACACAGCAGAATACTTGCACCATATTAGAGGCTATGGGCAGATCAACATTGCTTGTATTTCTGGATAAATACTTTACATTTCATTTTATACATCTCTCTACAACATAGAAGTAAAATATATGTAACATGAATTAGCTTTATTTGCATCACTGGCAATAAATTAAATGAACCACTGTTTGGATGTTCTGTAGCCACTCTTAATGGGTAATAAAATAACATTAACTTTACAGCTGAAGAGCAAAGTAGCATATACCTTTTACACACTACAGTTTGGGATGATTTTCTACTACGTTATAAGTGGAATAAAAACTACAGTTAAGAAATTTAACATTAGTACAAAAAGATAGTGACTCAATGTATAGAGTGGACAGTGCAAACTCAGCTATGGATATATTCAAGTTCCCCTTGCTTCTTTTTACATGAAACACTCCACATTTGTCGAGGAAGATGTCAGATAATCCACATTTAGCTCAATCATTAAGAAGTAAAAATCACTTAAAAATATTACATTTTTTTTTTACTTTCATTTTTGTGGTGTCTAGCAAAGGGGGAACTACCCGTGTATTCCACAATAAAACTCCCACTGTGCTGTACTGTAGCTGTTGTCCCTGAACTGGAACAATGTTAAACTAATTCATCTGAACTGAAACATTTGTCAGCTTTTACCCTGTGAAGCTTTGTTTAAAAGCTGCATTTGCTACATTTGTGCAAGCACGGACAACTTGGCTTATTGTTTGTGTTCCCATGGTATCTGTCTCGTGTCAGGCTGTGATGTGGTGTCGTGGTGCCATGGTGATGATGCAGTACAGTGTAATGGCCAACAACTATTGGCTTCTGGTGGAAGGCATCTATCTTCATAGCCTCTTAGTCATCACTGTATTCAGCGAGAGGAAGTACTTCTACATTTACCTGGCCATTGGTTGGGGTAAGAGCATAATCTGCTAAACAGCAGCTGAACACTTGGCTTTGTGCTTATCAACGTAATGCAAAAGGTCCAACAGTGAACAGCGCTCTGACTTTCAGCCAGTCTTTTGATGGGTGATTTAGTCAGACGACAGAAATTAGCAACAACAAGTCAGCCAACAGTTATGTTAATAGCTCTGAGAGCAAGGAGGAGCTACAAGAAAATCTGCGGTCTCTAGCTATTGTATCCCATAAACACTCGAGACTACTAAAAACACTACACCTTACCTTCTTTTCATGTTTGAAGTCGGAATGTATCCTTAGAGGTTTTCTCTTGCTACCAATATGTTTTGTCTGTCTGTCTCCCAGCTGCTAGGTGTAACAACGTTCTTGTATATATAAATATTGTGTAGCACACAGCAGAGCTAACTTATCAGAAGGGTGTATTTTACCCCAGACCGTAACTGTTAAAGGCTGATGGGGAGTTCACGTCGCCCCACCAAGCGGGCGGATAAGTTTGAATCTCAGTGACCTTAACCTAAAGGTCAAAGTTCAGAAGCCAGATATTCTGAAAATCCTGTGAATGCAATAACCTGAGAACAAGGCACTATAGAGTTTTCAAATTGATACAATAGGTGCGCCTTCGAAGAGTCTTAGGCGGCTTTGAATCTCAGTGACCTCGACTTCAAAGTGTTTTCTAAAAATCTTGTGAATGCAATAACTTGAAAACAAGGTGACATAGGATTTTCAAATTGACACCTCAGGTGTTTCTGCTAGGAGGCTGAGAGATACCACTGACGGTTACAAATGTTTTTTAGACCTTAGAACTAAGCTGTGACTGAAAATAGAAGGTTTTCAAAAAAGCCCTGAATTCAAACTTCTCTGACTAACCAAATAATGTATTCTTCATTCTTTTTTAAAACCTAAAGCCTGCATTAGTGTGTCTCTCTCTGGAGACAAAGAAAGATTTATACAGGTTTTGTTTTTACATTTCCTTAGACAGTAGCACTCTGCAAGACCTGCAAATTGACCTTGATGTATAACACCCAGTAGTCTTTAAGACTGTGAGATATCTAATTCATACCCACGAGACACTGAAAGAAAATATGTTTTGTTTTTGTTTTTTCATATCACTGTAAACACCTAACGGCGTGGAACTCTGTCAAGTATTGTTTTGAAACACACAAAAATGTAATGAGTCCAGCTGCTACTACTACTTAACAAGTCCTCAGATTCCGTAACAACAAGCATTCAAGAGCAGATGTGCTTCTCCAGTTCAGACTTCCTAGATTCCACCATTTTTACATTTTCAAATGAATATTGAATGTATGATTTTCAGCCTCCTGTTCTGTAATAAGAACTTAATTATACAGCTGTCCATAGTTAAGTTTTTGTATAGCTTTTAAAAATACTCACTGAAGAAAACTACTCATCCATGTCTAAAATAACAACTGTCCAGCTCACCTTGATGTGTTATAGCCTGACAGGCCTGATACAATTCTGAGACCACATTCATAAACACATAGGGATTGAGCTCATTGAAGCTTAGATAAAGGCAGACATGACAGAGATGATTTTAATATTTAGAGACCTTTAAAGTCTGCTTAGGATAAGACGAGAGCGGAAATATTTGAAATGGTAATGAGATATTAAATTCACAAGTACAGAAAAAAATATAAAAAATGTTGTATCATGGGCAGTGATATAATAATATAACTTGATACTGATTACTGGACTAAAGTATAAATATTAGCTAGGACTACTGCGTGTGCTTTGGAGGAAATGATTTGGGATCCTTATTCTTTGCTTTCTGTCATTCTCAGGTGCTCCGCTCATATTTGTGTTGCCATGGATCACAGTGAAATACCTGTATGAGAATGAAGAGTAAGTTTAATCAATTCATGGAATTCTCACATCAAATGGAAGACAGTTTAATTATTGCCGCTTTTATCCGTGACCCCTGAGGAGACAGATCAGTGCGGGTCTTTTTTCTCCTGGTTTCCTTTAAAGAATTTATATTGCAGAGGAAATGTTGATAAAATGTGTTATGCCCATAAGTTTGTTTCTGTATCTAGGTGCTGGGAGAGGAATATTAACATGGGATATTGGTGGATTATCCGATCTCCTATACTTTTTGCTTATCTGGTAAGACTCTCTGTATCTCTTTCTCTCTCTCTCACCTTTGTGTTTAACTTTGTCAGTTTACATTTGGATAATGTTTTAAAGACAATTCAAAACAATCTATGTCTTGGCAGATGCTTAGGAGTGCTCATAAAGATACCAAATGCTTTTGTCTGCCTGCTTGTATTTGAATGTGTGTAGATGAGGGAGCTGTTGAAAATAGGACTGCAGGAAAAATGTAAGTCGTGTAAAAATAGTGACTTTTATTTTCTGCAGTTGATATTTTATCAGTTCCTACATTCAGTGCTGTGCTATTTCACTTTGCTCAGTCTGATGACAAAATATAACTTTATACAACCACATGTGCAATATTCACAAAATATCAGTATTTAAAATTTCATATAGGACAACATCATTGTGTTTACACTCCCTCTTAACAACATCACATACCAAAACCAGCTGACGCGTTCCTTTTGTGTGTTTCCTGATTCTTGTTCCCAAATAGCATTATGGATGGACACACTTATGACCAGTGCACTTAAACATGCGCAGTGCTGCACTGTGTGGGAGCATTACTTTTTAATGCAGTTGCAGAAAAAGTTGGTAAAAATGTAAAGTTGTTGTAAAGTCTTTCATCATTGTGCAACAGCCCCAGAGCTGTTCTGCAGTTCTACTATTGCGCAAACAACCTGATTCACACCTAAATAAACTGCGTTTGTGTACACTCCACTATACATATTTACACAAATACTTGTGTTGAGACAGCACACGCACTTTACCAAACTTGGAGCGCCAAAATCTTGAGTGCTGTGATAATAAATGACCTGCCATCAGTAAGTGTCCTGCACTAGATCACAGTGTGTGCGCACGTGCACATGCTTGTTCTGTGCGCAAGCACTTGAATTGCTCGTGTTGTGGGGACGTTAATCCGTCTGCCCAGTCCCACTGTGAGGACTTCGTTTAAAGTCAGACTTTGTGTTAACTACTAACGCATTCCAAAGCGGCAGTAATCTTCTCTCTAGCACCATATGCTAAAATATTGCATTGTGTTTGCTTCAAAGTGACTTTCTTTATCCTCTTTCTTTCAGATTAACTTCTTCATATTTATCCGTATTATTAAAATCTTAATGTCTAAACTTAGAGCTCACCAGATGAGATACACTGACTACAAGTTCAGGTGAGAAATGTGTTCCTTTATTTCTTTTCTTTTTTGTTTTTTTAAAGAAAATGCAGACAGGAAGCATTTACTTAGTCTTAGTAGCTTTTTCGCTTGGGAATTAACTTTTTTGGTATTATAGCCATTTTTATATATAGTCCCCTGTTTTCAGAGTTTTCTTGTAATCTCTAATACCATTTGCTTCCCCTTTCTCCATTCTTCCAGACTGGCAAAATCTACCCTGACTCTCATTCCCTTGCTTGGGATTCATGCCATCCTCTTCACCTTTGTCATTGATGAATCTGTTCCTAAAGGCTCTGTTCTGCGCCTCGTTCGCCTCTTCTGTGATCTCCTGTTCAACTCCTTCCAGGTATAAGTTCAACTTTCACTTGTTCCACATGTGCCCATAAATATAACAGAGGGACCTCAGAGGATTAATACCCAGGAAGACATAAACTGCACGCTAAAGTAATAAATTATCTGTATAACTCAAAGATGTCACAGAGAACAAAGAAATTGGCACTTTTATATGTTGTACATTTGCATATAAAGGCAAACATAGGTGAAGAGCTTGGGTTCGACATTTCTTTTGCCCAGCAAACTCCTTCTTAATCCTCAAATTTTATTTTTTTAGACTATTTCTTACTCAGGCAGCACACAAATCCTACCCTTCTGTCAGATACTGCTGGTGTTGCAGGAAATGTGAACAAGCTGTCCTGGCACCGTGACTTGATGAACCAGATGTGGCAGCATTCATGGCTGAGAGATAAAATTCTTTTTTTGGAAAGATTAGGAAGTGCATTTATTACGGTGGAGATGAAAGGTGGAGTAAGTCACAAGAAGGCACATTAATTTTGAATGCTCTTGTGCTGTTGCTTGTAATTTAGGTCTTTGCACCATAAACTTACCTGATTAGTTTTAGTGAAAAATTACTTTGTGGTACAATGCGCCCCCTCATAACAATAACTCTACACATTAAAAAATGGCGGTGCATTTAAATGTGGCTTCACGTGCTTGTTTGCAAGCATCCATATGTGACAAGCTGGGAGTGAGAGAGCGTCTCTCTATTTCTATAAGACAGGTTTCGGTGCACCTGTGAGATCCCAGCAGCTCTGACAAAATAGTAATAGAGATTTTGACACCCTAGGAATGAGATTGGGCTGCATTAATTATATTCTCCATCATTCATACTATGCCTCTGCCTTTGGCAGTTCAGTGATCAAGTGTTTTAGCTGTCCAGTGCAATAAAATGACTCTTTTTTTTGTTTGTTTGTTTTCCTCTTGTTGAAAAAAAGTGTTTTTACTCTTTTATTGTGGGAACTAGATGAGAGTAATGAGGCAAAAATAGTGATTTTCTGGGTATTTGTTTCTAATAATGAAAAAATGTATTTTAAGTACAATAAGCATATTAAATGTTCTTCCATTTCAGGGCCTGCTGGTTGCCATCCTGTACTGCTTTGTCAATAAAGAGGTGAGACTGATTCATTTGTCAAAAGCCACTTTAATTTTAAATGTATCTTCTTTGTGAGGATACATTTTTTATTGTCTCTGTCTCTTCCTTTATTTGTTCTTTTGTATCTCTAAAAACATCTTCAAGTTCCACTTTTGCTTCTTTTGTCTGCAAAGACCAGCAGACACGACAGGATCCATCTGCTAATATGCAGTCTTTTAAATGCAGTTTTTGGCAAAGAACATCCATCTATTGATGTCCTCTGTGTCTTGTTCAATCTTCATCACCACTATCTCTCCTGTCTCTCCCATCACTTCCTCTCTCAGGTGCAGTCGGAGATGCTGAAAAAGTGGAAGAGGTGGAAACTGGGTAAGGACATTGATGAGGAGTACCGCCACACACACAGCCAAACGCCACACGTTAAAAGCGGCAGTATCGCCACTGGCAATGTGCCCAACACCGGTGACCCAAATGTTGACTGGCCTCACTTCAACAAAGCCAACAGCGGCCCGGTTTGCTCCACTGCAGCTGAGGAGAACCGCAAACTCGTTGTCTCCTTTAGCAACGGGACAGGGAAATGCAGACCTGCCAAAAGCAGGCACACCCTGCACTTCTCTTTGCAATCGCACAGAGGCGCCACCAGCAGCACTGCCACAGAGGATGTGTGTCTGGAAGAGCGCGTGAAGTACCGCTCATATACTCTGGAAGGAGAGGAAACTAATGTCTGACTTCCCTGGGACCTCATCGCAAAAACTCTCACTGATTGCGCTTCTTGCTTTGGATCCGTGCTTATCATGTGGCAGTTGTATAGCTTGAGCAGGAAGAGGATGAGGAAGTAACAAACAGGGATCATGATGTTCACTGATTCAGAACATTGCAGGAAATGCCACTGAGTCCTGCCCAGCTGCATATGAGTATTTATTGCTTCTGGGAGATGGAGGAAAAAACACTTATTGACTTCAGACATTAGGAATGATCAAATAAATCAAAACTTTACTGGCGTTCAGTGTGCGTACGTGTGTCTGCCTGTGCACATATGGAGGACAGCTATTTCAACCCTTCTCACATCTTATCCGGTGTAACCATTGTGGGACATGCTTGTGTCGTGTGTGTTTGCAGCAGTGTGCACTAATCTGTGGTACAGAAGAACCTCTTGGTGTCAAAGTATGATTTTATTTAAACTTTTGGTTCGATGGAAATGAATGTGAATTGCACCATGAGAGACTCTTAATGTCTGAGTGGTCAGGAATTGCAATTTACTGGAGACCTCTCTATCTTATCATGCTGTGATAGGAGTCAGTGTTTGCTATGCTGAGGCAGGCACACAGAATATGGACTCTTTCACCTTTAGAAGGAACATGATACAAAGTTTAACTTATTCTGGTTTTAACAAGCCAAAGCCAAACAAGAAAATAATAATATATCACAGGTTTGTTATTGACTGCATAAAGCACGAAATCCATATTTTTATTCATCTACTCCATTTTTAAACAAATTTTGACTGAATGTATATGGACAGAGGAGTAATTTGGTTGAACTGAATTTTAATTGAATATTTAACTGTATATATATAATTAGATGTACACGCTCTATCCAGAGCCTCTTGGATTTGTCTGACACCTAACTCAAATTCCTCATTTGCCTTCATTGCCTCATTGTAAGATTCATGCTTACACGGTTACAGTCACCGTCAGCTGCACAATTTTTCAGGCGTACTTTAATTTTTAGAAATATAATTTTTGCACAAAATCTACAGCTTGTACAGATGTCCAAAGATTGTTTTATATTCCAGGACGGTTTTTAAAGAAAAAGGTTTTGCATTTCAAAACACAATGTATGACTAAGATTTTTTGTTAATGCACCACATTGACAATGAAAGTTAGATTGTTGTTATGCTTTCTATGTCAAACTTAGTAACGCAGAACAAAAATTGTGCCCCACCCACCATATTTATTTGTTGCTGGGTTTTTTTGATACCGTAAATAAATGAAGCCAGCAATGAAACACTGCTTAAAAAAATTAAGAGAAGATACAATCTTCACAGTATAATACAAAACCAGTGAAACTTGTGCAATATCAATTTGTCTAGTTGGGAAGCATACGTTTTATAGGGCTGTAGCAATGATGGTCATCCTAATTTATCCAAAATTATTAAATAAAAACAATATTAAACTCCTCTAAAATGTGTGTTCACTAAGTGTGAACTATTGCTAACAGGCATGATGTACACATGAATTTGAAAGCTATCAGTACCTCTATTGTAGCAAAGGTATTTCCAAAATTAATTCTTGTTTCATTGTAGTTCGTGCAAAGAAAGCAGAACCTGACACTGTGTTTTTTTTTTAGAATAAATGTGGACATTTATTACAGATATTTTTATTAATACGTTTATATATTATATGTAGATATATAGGAAACCATATAAACAAGAAATAGCACCTTGAAGTGACTGTTTTGGTGTAAATAAAATTGACTTGAATTGAAGAAACCATTGTGAATCATTTTCAGCTGATTTCTCTCCAGTGCATCAGTGCTAACACTTGCACTGGAGTGGTAACACCAAGACACCTCTCAAAAAGGAAGTAGTAATAGCTGATGTCCGTGGACCATTGGCATTAGATGGTAACTGCAGCCCATTCTGGTTGAAAAAGCAGCTTCTCTAGGATGGTACATCCATATCCTGTCATAAGAGAGTGAAGGACATACCAGGAGGCAGGATGCTATATAAGGAGAACTGGAGGGGGCTATATAGGAGCAACAACCCAGCAGCAAAACCAGCATGTTTTCTATTACGCAAAGAGCTATAGGAGCCCTACAAAATTACCTCCAGCAGGCTACTCATGTACATGTCTCTGACTAAAATGTTAGAACGAGACTGAGGAAGGCGTGAAGTCAGTCTTTAGCAGGACCTGTGCTTACAGCCCAGCATTGTGCAGCTGTGTAGGAATTCACCTGAGAACACCAGCGATGGCAGGTCAAACAATGGATCTCCAATTTCTTGATCTATCTGTGACAGGCGTGAAAGCTTCTGGATACTCTGGCATCTCCAGATGTTTTGTCACTCTCATTTGCACCAGAGCAGGTGAAATGCGATCATAGCGGTTTATGTGTGTCAGCTGGTCAAATTGACAGTTTACCTGATTATGTGTTATACTGTGATGAAGGTTCCTTTGTTTTATTGAGCAGCATATATACCTAAATGACCTTTTTTTTCTCTTTAAATTCAGAACAGAAAATAGACACTCTTTAAAGAGTTAACTATACATATCAATAAAGCTAAATAGACAAAAGCAGGTGGGTGATTGGGTGTATTGTTATGCTAATGGTTACAGTGCAGGTGACTCAAAAATGAAAGCAGTAAGAATTATTATGAGAAAAGACTTTTCTTTCACAAAGCATGTTTGTAAGTATCAGATTGTGTCTCTTTGCTTAAAGTATTGTAGTTGTCAAAACAGCCCTAAAGCAAACATTGTCATTAAGAAAAGGAAGAGGTTTTGTATAAAAGCCACATCATTGTGTTTCATATGCCTCTGTGGATCCAATTAAATTTGATTCTGTCAGCAAAAAGAGTCTCAGTGTATGTTGTGTCAAACAGAGTCAATGATGCAACTCTGACTGAAAGGTAAGTAATACACCTGTCTCGGTTTTGTGACATTTAAAAAGAAATACTTGGATTTAGCTGATATTTTGCAGTGACTTTCTGTAGAACTGCTCCTGTTCAATATCCAAGTTCTAACCTTAGTTTAAAAAAGCACACAATAAGCTACTGAAATGGTCTATGTGCACACATGCAGGAATAACACTCTCAGTTATTGCTAATTACATGTGACATAGCAGATTAGCGGCCTTATTGTTAACCATGTTTCCAATGGAGATTACTGCAATGTGAAATGGTTACTCATATATCTGTGTATTGTTGTGCAGAAGGTAATGAGTTGATGAATTATGTATTAGTTAGTCATACATGTCTGGGAATGTGTGCTCATGTGTGTAATTGATCTCGAAGTCTCTCTGAAAATATTGCCGTGCCTGTGTGTGCATTTACATATAAGAGAGAACATAAACCACCAAAGGCAGAACGCTGCATTCCAGCATCGAATATTGTAAGTGCAATTCTGATTATAGAAAAAAGGGATACAGGGGAAATTACAGGGTTGGACAGGCTCACAACAACCTAACATTTCATTTCCAGGAAAAAAAATCTGGATTTTGTCCCACTTGGATTATCAGCTTCAGGAAGTGAGTGTGTGACTGAAGGTTTGTCCACAACTCTGGAGCAGAGTTTACCATGAATTATTTAATTGTGTACTGTTGGCAAGCAAACTGTACTACATCAAGTATAATAGGAAAATTTACCCTTTGGTTCATGTGCAAGCCATCTGACATTGGCTACTGACTTTCTTACCTCACTTAGTAGGAAAGGTATAATTACTGATTACAACATGTCCAATAAAAAACACAGTTTTTTCTTTTTGTTTAAAGCAGAAAATCTGGTGTGACGTCAACACCGTGAGAGACACAAGGATGCACTGAGATCCTGCCATTAGAGCTAGCTTACAAATCCAATTTCAATCCGTCTATTTAATTTAATTGTTTTTCCTTGTGCAGTTTTACTTGAAAACTGAATGTCAGAATTTGTCCCAAGCCAGCTCATAGCCACTGAGAAAGAGGGGAGACAAGACAGACTGCGATGTCAAAATAATAAACATGAGGTATGAAGAATCAGTCATGGTATGCATGAACGGACAACTGACATATTAGTGCAGTGTGTCGGCAAAACAAGAAAAAAAATCTAAAACCCAGTGGTTTCATTCCTTGGCATTTGCCCAGTGGGCCAAAACACTTGTGGGCTGATGGTCAATATGATTTTTTTTTTCTTTGTCAATATAATTATACAGGCTACTGGGTGGCTTGAATGGCAGTTGCACACCAGCCCTACAAGCATTTCCATCAGCCCTTTTTCATAGCTGACACTGGATTGCCCAATCAACAGGTTAGTGTGGAAAAAGTGATCTATAAAGATGGACAAACAAGTGAAAAGTTGGAGCTGAAAAGCTAAAAGAGGAAAAGAAACTAGAAATAAGTGTAGAAAATGACCAACATATCAGCTGTCAGGGCTGCTGCTGCATTCTCAACAGTAGCACCAGCAGCAACTAGTAAAAAGCTGTCACAGCTACTACCAGCCATGGAACCTGATCAAACAAAATCTATAAGCAAAACACAGTTTTACTGTTATTTATGTGTTTGTTGGGGAATAACACAGTTATTTCCCTTTTTTTGCATATACTACTAGGCTGTACCTGTTGTGAGCCTTACACAGGTAAACCCCAGTCAGTTTAACCATCTTCTCCAACATACGGCCTCAGAAAGAGAAAACCCTGCAAAGTATAAAGGAAGTGGAGGGAGCATAACACACTCAAATGAAGAGCTACTTAGAGCAGGGGTGTTCAAATCCAGGCCTCAAGGGCCGGTGTCCTGCAGGTTTTAGATATCACCCTGGGTCAACACACCTGAATCAAATGATTAGTTCATTACCAGGCCTCTGGAGACCTTCGAGACATGTTGAGGAGGTAATTTAGCCATTTAAATCAACTGTGCTTGATAAACAACACATCTGCAACCCGCAGGACACCGGCACTTGAGGCCTGGATTTGGCAAACAGTTTGTAGAATAGAATAGAATTAGTTTTATCTAAGCAGCACCGATTCACAACCCTCATCATCAGGGAGCTTTATAATCCAAGGTGAAGAATGTAGAGAATGTTCCCCAATGATCAGACAATTCCTTGAGAGCATGCACCTGGCAAAGGAAGGACAAAATCCCTTTTAACAGGAAGCAACACTCTGCAGAAGCAGGCTCAGAGAGAGGCACCCATCTGTCATGACTGGGTGGAGGTGAAGGGAAAAGATAAGAAAAACAGAGGAAATAGGGGCAAACAGGGACTGATCACAAAATTGATTTCATTAATTGGATTTTGAAGCCCAAAATTTGCTTTCAAATTCTGATAAAGAAGCTTTTGTCTCTAATTGGTGTTTAAATTGCAACCATAATCTCGTTAATTGATGCAAAAATAAAGCGAGACCAAATGTATTACAAAAACAGAACAAATACTCACGCTTTCTCGGATCGGCCCACAGTTCTTAAAATGTCTGTTTTAAGAACTCCTATAATATTTTAACTAGTGGGACCCAATAATATCCCAGATGGGCATTTGTGATGTTGCGAGTCTACAGGGAGGATGTCTGAAAACACATTATATGTTTGGGGTCACTGAAAACATATAACTGTGGTCAAACTTCTTCCATACATCCTCCCCAAAGCTTCCCCACAGGATGCTGAAACCATCTGTGTGTAATTTCAGCTGACTGTGAAAAAATCTTACAGCAATAATCTGAATTTCACTCCCAAACCACAAACCCATGATAGCAAATGGATTGTAGATGGTACAAAACAATTTCTGGAACTAATAAAATTGCTGCAACTCAAAAAGGATATAATTCAAATAAGCGCAGTAACTGTTTTCTACCTTTTTTTTTTAACTACAGTTAGTCTGCGTTCTAGTTCAGTATCATTTTTTAACCCTCAAAATAAAAATCTTATGAAAATCCTTAAAGCAGAAAGAATCTCAGACAAGGCTGCAGTAATTATTTAATAAAATAGGAAATAAAGTTATATCTAATACTGAAGGAATAAATATCCAAAGGCTAAAATCAGTTTTCCTCTGGGTTCACTGACCTTTTGTGGTTGGTATTAGATTTGAAATCACAGTCTTCGTTATATCTGTGCTGTGTGTCTGCGTTGTGTGTGTGTGGGGGGGTGTTAGAATCTGCGAAACTGGTTTTTATAATCTAATTTTTATCTGTTTTTTGTGCTGTTGAAGTCTCCGAGTTTACACTGGACAAGAAGTAGTGTACATGCAGTACACAAAGTTATGAGACGTTATTTTGAGATCAGGACAAAAACAGCTTGAGGAGCTACGTGGCGCGGGAATCAATCAGCCGTGACAGATCTATTGTGAAAAGTACTTGAGTCCAAAAACAGGCACAGGCTGGGTTACAGTCCCACAAAAGTGCAGTAAGAGGAAAAAACACTGCTCACATGTGTACAGAATAAAAGACCATATGTTTGTGTGTACTATAATGGGAGGGGTGTAGATATTGCAGAAAAATAATTATCTGCCTCTTGAGCACAAAGCATTTAGGTCTCATGTGGATCAAACTGTTTTCCCACTGTAATTACTGTCATCATTCTTCTTGTGTTTAATAGCTACACAGCCAGATTTGGTCTTTCTGAGAGCTATCCTTGTTTTTAAAGGAAACGTCATACTGTAGCTGTAATCAGTTACAGTATGATAGCAAAATGAAACCACTGCCATAGAGTTA